TATGTGTGTGTAGGGCCCACCTCCTGTTTTCTTGTATAGTTGAGGTTGTGACCCACCTCTGTACTTATATATACGTGCCTGGTGCAACGATCAATACATCGCGATTGCACAACCCATAATCTGTCTCTCTACAGTTTTGGTTTGGTGAGGAATAAGAATGATGACCAGTGTGATTTTTAGCGGACCATGTGAAGTGTTACACAGCGGAGATCCGGCAGTTTATGTAACTTAATTTGTACGAAACTTGTGTATAATGAACCGATTGAATCTCTATTCATGGATGAAAGATTTCATCTTCTCGTTGTAAGCCTATGTTCTCCATGCCGCCAGGAGGTCCTTGGTATGTGCGGTTTTCCTGGATTATTTGTGTGAATTGCCTGTTTTCAGTAAAATTCTACTGAATTCAGGTGTTTTAAATTCGCTGTATATAGGAGCATTTTTCATTGCTTGGAATGAGTTGTCAGCTATCTCAAAAACAATAAGAAAAATAGGAGCATTTTTCCTACGAATTTTGGCTTACATCGGGTAGATGTTAGATCCAGTACCAGCTTAATCATATTTTGCAAAAAAAAAGAGAGTAATCAGCACCTATTGGCCCAGTTTACTTGTGGCAGTTTCTCTAATGGAAATGGACAAGGCTCGCTGTTTTTTTTTCTTAAAAAAAAAGACCCAGTTTACATGTTATTTGCCACGTAGGCACTCGCCATGCTCCGTCACAGCAAGCGTGGCTCGTCACCCCCCTATCCTCGGGACGCACCGCAACAGCTGCAACACTCCGACGCAGCACAAAGCGAAAGAACAACCCGAGAGAAAGGCAAAGCGCCGCCCGGCGAAAGCGGCGTCGGCGGCGATGTTGCGGCAGATGCGGTGGCTGACGGACAGGGAAGGGAGGTGGGAGCTGGACGTGGAGTCCCCGGCGACGATGGAGGGCACGGCGCGCCCGGTCCCGGGCGACCCGCTGCCCCTGGGCCTCTCGCGGGGGCCCCGCGTCACCCGCACCAAGCAGCTCGACTTCTTCCACCGCTTCATGGCCTCCCCGCTCGTCCCATCCTTCTCCGCCTCCCGCGCCGGTCTCTCCCTCCATCACGCGCACCTCCTCCATCTCGCCCACAACTGGTAACCCCCCTCCCCTCACAACCAAACTCACCAACAATCCTGCCAGAAACGGTCGTACTTACGTATCTGCACCCTTCCAAGGTTGCCGCGGTTGATAGGTAGTGAAATGTGGTATACAAGATGCCGATTCCAATGGCATTTCCACACGTACCAGCCACATCACATCCGAGTGGATGGAATATTAGTCGTAGATTTCTTAGGTAGTTGTTTCTGAATGCCTTGTGTCTGGTTATTGTGTTCGTTTATTTGAACCTTGCCTGCTTGCATGAATACTAACTGTATAATTGCAATGATTTTGATTCATGTGTAACAAGTATGTGCCCAAACCTCATGTTCACTAACAACTTAATGCGATCTGCTCAGGTCGTTTACTATCTTGGAGCAGCTTCATGTACAGCAGCTTGTGGCAGTCGTGAAAGAGAAGTTGTCAAATCGGCAAGAAGGGGTCCCCTGGTCCAATGATCTCAAGAGGCATTTGCGCGATGTCATTTCTCTAGGTGTTGGCACGGAACTCTTGATCACACCAGACACGGCATTGCTGCTGGAGTTGTACAATATCAACAAGGGGGACCGAGGCAAAGCGATTATTCACCACAAGGCAAAACACCTGGATGCTCTTAGGCTCTTTGGTATATAGTTAGCTATTTGCGTGTATTCTATTCTGTTTGCGCTGCCATTTCTCACTAAATCTTATTTTCTTCATGTATGCCGATTAGGACATGTAGTCTTCAAAAGGTTGTGATGGATTTATGGAATACTTGATCTTGCTCTGTTTTGTGAATGACTAGTTTACTGAACTGATGCTACTGTTGCTGTTCTGAATGTTTGGATGAACTGAACCATTCTATTTACTGTTTGCAGCTTCCTCAACAAAATCTTACATTAGCAGCGTCCTGGCCTGGGTTATTTGTTGATAAACAGGGGGTGTACTGGGATGTGCCTTTATCACTGTCAGCTGATCTTGCTTCAGTCGGCTCCAGTTCTGGATTGAGTTATCATCTATTGTTACAACAGAATAGCGGGGAGCCAAAATGTTTTGGTGGTGATGAAACCAATGATGTTCCTCTCGCTCTGCTACCTGGTTTGTGTGCTAAGGCAGCTATTTCCATCAAGAGAAGTATTGATGCTTGGAGGAAGAAAGAAGACAAGCTAAAAATGGTTCAGCCTTATGATGCATTTCTCTCAGACCCTCATGTTTCATTCACTGGAATTGTTGGTAAGAATCTTACCATGTTTTAGTGTTGTGCTGATTACATCTCTGTAGTTGTGAAATCTGTCCTTGAGCTTCAGTGACTTATTCTCTAAGCTGCTTTCAGAAAAGTTCTTGGGTCTACTTGCTTAGAGGTTTTGTTTTTGACAACAGTTTCACTCACATGCCATGTCCTGCTCACTGTCACATTTCAAGAATATATGATAATTTAACCAACGTTTTCCCTGCTGTTCCAATGTATCACAAGATTTTGCAAGCCAAAATCTTGTGCACTTTCTCTGGATATATTATCACGAACTACTTTATGACCCTGTATTGGATTTATAGGTCGCCAGCACCAAACGGTTTACTGTTTCCTGCCTCATTTTGTTCATCCAGGTGCAGTAGCCAGTGGTTCTTTGGGGGATTGTTCAAAAAGAATTTCAGTGCCAGACGAAACGCGAAAAAGCAATGCCTTCAGAGTGTTCCACGAGAGGAATAAGTTTGCTGCATTTGCAGATCTCTTTGCTTCTGTTACTTTTACAGCTCAACATGGAAATTTCCAGAGGCTTTTCCTGGATTTGACAAGGGTCAGTGCCCGATTAGATATATCCTCGGGATCTTTGTTCTTACGTGGTGCTTCTCGTCTAGCGCAAGATTTTTTCTTCTCTAGACGCCCTGATTTAGAGACATTCTGTGATGTTTGTCCAGATGTGATTGTTTCTCTTCAACAACAGGTGAATCATATTTTCCTTTCATTTCACTTTGTGCTCTGTTACCTAGAACTAGAAGGTCATTCTGTATGCAGACTGTCACGCCACAAAGCATGATACTCTTACTCCTTTTTTTGGATTTGAGATGTCAAATCATTTCGAAATCTTTATTTTCTTTTTCAGTTCAGCCAATAACCTTAAGGTGGAAGAGTTTTTGCCTGACATGCATTGCTATTTGATTAATCAAGGTGTCGAAGAGCTTAGTTATACTGTCACTTTCCAGCAGGAATAGATTGGCACAATGCTATTCTATATCAAACATAATACATACATCTCTATGTTTTCTTTAGGAAAACTTGATTGGTGTCCTGTCATATGTTAATTTTATCTTGGTAACATTTTCTTGAAATCAATAAGCAAATTGGTTAGGAGAAGGTATCCAGTAACTGAACTCTGCCAGTTACCATTAGTTTTCTGACTGATGGCCAGGCTATTGGTTTAGCATAGAGGATCAAGACCATTACCAAAAGTTCCTCCCAAGGATCCTATCATATTGGGTATCTGTTCCCCGCCTTTTCCCGCTAGGATCGGGAATCTTACATTTTCCATATCCATATACTCCCTCCGTCCCATAATATAAGACGTCTTACATTATGAGACGGAGGGAGTGCCATTGAATCCTTGGGGTTCCAGAATCCGCCTATTCTACTTTCCTATCTTTTTTGTTTTCTTCGATCGTTTCAGTTATTTGTCAAACTGTACACAAGGATTAGAAAAGTTGGGTACTGAGGACTAACAAGTAAAACAAGTATTAAGAGAAGCTAGCATATATTGATCTATTGCTAATGGATGCATCGCATGAGAGCTTAATCATGTCATGAGTTAGGATTAGGTTATGCTTAGATGTAGAACTCCAAACTCCTTAGCTATTAGTAAGGTCGATACTGAGCCTTAGAGAAAATGCGTGGTAGCAGGTACTATGGGGCTATGACCTGTATTGCAAGTCCTATTGCTTATAACTTCTCCCACCAGTTACTCTGTTATTGCGGAACACATTTCATTACTGAAATCTCAGAGGCTACAGGATAATTTTTTGCCACCACATGTCAGTGACACATGGAGTGCCATGTATGAATACCATTTGTTTCAAGTGGCAAATACTGTTTTTTCCCTGTGTAGTTACCTTTTTGGCTTGATGGGTTTTATTACTGTTAGATGGTATCACCTTCCTAGAACTTAGGAATCAGTACTGGTAAGTACTCCCTCTGTAAACTAATATAAGACCTTTTATATCATTTTTCTCCTGTTGCCTTCCTTCAATATATTCCAAGCAGATGAATTAACCAGACAAGAGGATCGCAGTGTGCAGGCACTACAAAGCTATCATAAAGAGTTAAAAACTAAGTAAAGCTATCCTTTGTTCCTTGCGCAGATAGTTGGGCCATTCAGCTTTCGTGTTGAATCTTCTGTTGCCATTGACCCAAGAAGTCAAGACCATTTTGTCCGAGTGGACGACTCAGTCTTCGCCATTGATTGGGCTCTGAAGGTCCTGGGTTCAGCAAAGGCCACAGCTTGGTATTCGCCCAAGCATCAGGAAGCAATGGTGGAGCTTCGTTTCTTTGAGGTCTGATGAAGCACATAAAGGTCCCATCTCACGTAGAAGGTCACAAGCACATAAGGTTCCATCTCATGTCGAAGGTCACGTTGAAGGTCACAAGCATAATTGTATGAATGGTCGATGCTGCGTTTTATCAAGCCTATGCATACAACACCATTGGATTTTGTTGGGTTATACTACTTTGACATGTTGGATCATCGGTCCTGCCATGCTGCTCTTCGGGTAAAATAGTTTCTGCTATACAGTAATCCATGGAGGAAATGATTATTTCAGTTCTAGGACAGTTGTTATGTATTCACATTGTCCATCAATTGAGAATACATTCTAATTGTATTTCGTACTTTCACTAGCCACGCTTGCTCTTTGTTCATCAATCCATCATTATATGGTTTGGGAGTTTCACCTTACACACTGCTTGTTCTGAATGAATAATTTTTGGCTAGGCTCATGCCTAGGATTACTCTTTGTGTCCTTGACTGACAATCAAAACAAAAAAATAAGTTATTTCATGGAATTATCAACCTTCACTTAGCAATTGATACTAGCGATGTGGAAGGCTATATAATTATCATTAAGTAATGATGCAGTAGCGTTCATCCTAATCCATGCATGTAAATAAAATAGCAATATGTTGCAATGATATCTCTCATCATAAAAATCCGCTTATCATTGGATAGTGACTCTTTCCTTGTTCATAAGGAGCCAATAACTCTAATTCATTATGTAAAGGAAAAGTAAACGTGTGAAGTAGCAAAGATACTACTCCCTTCGTTTCTAAATATAAGTCTTTTTAGACATTTCAAATGAACTACAACATACAGATATATGTAGACATATTTTAGAGTACAAATTCACTCATTTTGCTTCGTATGTAGTCACTTGTTGCAATCTTTAAAAAGACTTATATTTGTAAATGGAGGGAGTAGGTGTTTCACGGATCGCCCCAAGATTGCAATTAAGTCGGCAGGGACCTAATACCTAATTTTCTTCAGAGCACGTGCTTCCTCTTTCTCTTGCTCTTAGGCTTCTCATCCTTGGTCCAGTTGCACGCAACGAACATTGAACTGAACATATAAAGGATGAGCCCGTGCGCCCAACTAGCGGCCGTGGCCACGTCTCCTTTTATTTCCGAGCGCTCGCTTCCTCCCGCCGCCTCCTTCTCTTCCTCTTCCTCTCCCTCGGCGTAGCCCCTCCACCTCCCTCCTCCTTCGACGTCGCCTGGTCCAGATCGGGCTCAGGTCGTCTCCATTGAGAGCAGGGGTGAACAACGGGAAGCGGTGGGAGAAGCGAGCGGCAACCGGCAGGGAGAGGCGGAGAGCCACGACAGGGTGGACAGCGGGAAGCGGTGGGGAGAAGCGAGCGACAGTCGACAGGGAGAGCCACGACGATGGCCGGCGTCAGCTGCCACTTCCTCCCCTCGTCGGCGCCGCGAGGCCGCTAAGCCTGCGCCCGAGCTTCCTGTCCGTGAGCGATCGCTCCGCCCACCGGCCGTCCCCCATCCGTGTGCTTCTTCTCGGGACGTCGACGCCACGGAGCTCGTCAAGGTGCCCTCTCGTCCCTCTTCACTTCCTCCACGCGTTTGTCTCTATTCGATTTGGTCCTCTGATTCAGATTTCTCACACAAGCGGATGGGTGTTGTCCTCTGTTCGTGTTCGCGCTCGTGCAGCTCCCTCTCTGCTGCTGCAGGAGGATTGGATTGGATTGGCTTCTACTTGCTCTATTATCTATTTGAGGAATCTGAGATGCTCTCTGTTCGTGTTCGCGCTCGTGCAACTCCCTCTCTGCTGCTGCAGGAGGATTGGATTGGATTGGTTTCTACTTGCTCTATTATCTATTTGAGAATCTGAGATGCGGCCCTCCAAATCTTCGGCCCCAGAAGGAGGATTTGAGAGTGGAGAAGGGTCACCTGAATGTGATTTGGAGGAAGGAGCTGTCCAGGAATCAAAATGTTATTATTTTACTATTCTGCAGGGGAGAATCTAAAGATTATTTGTTTCTTTTTATGCCTACAGATCGTGTTTAGTGTTTGGGATTCACACCCTGCATTGATAAGGTCTGAATTTAACATCCACTTTTAACACTGGGTTCCTCAAGTGTTTCAGTTCATACTTTGCCGACGTACAATCTATTGGCCACATTTTCTGGCACACTTATTCCAACTGAAGTCAGCTCCTGCTTGCACTTCTCCACTGAGTGAATGCTAATAGTTCTAAAAAGATAAACCACCCATAGAATTGGTTCTAATTAGATCCTATGAAAGATCCAAGCAGCTAGAGTACCTTAGTCCATAGGAGTCCTGGAACTGGTTCAGAAGTTCTTGAGTAAACTGGATCAGTGAGAATATTAATTGAGTCGCTGCTCAAGAAACAAAGTAGAATAACGACAGCGTAACTAATACCATTTGTCCCTGCATGATGTATTTTGATCTCAAATGCATTTGAATGGCTTGATTTTTGCAGAGATCTTGTCACCTGCGCCCTTGTTTGGTCGTACATAAAACTGTCATCTTGCTTTAAATTCAAGTGGTCAGGTATTTGATAGTACGCATGGCTGAACCCACCTTTTGTTGAATTTGGGAACCGTCTAATATAGCTATTTTTTAAGAAGAAGTTTGAACAGATCTCAGTATATGTTAATTTTGTAGAACTAAAGGAGCCTGACTGACTAGGTAATTCCCAGCGAACTGAAGCAACTAGGCTTGTAGGCATGTGTACTGTAAACAGAACCAAGTTCTGCATATATTGTATTTGCAGAAAATGTTTTTGGCCTGTACGGTTCTAACAAATTTGAGGTGATAAATTCTGAACACTAAAAGAATTAGTTTTGTAGGACCAGTTTTCTTGTATGACCTTGCACTACTGTATTGATTTTCTTGTACTTGCATGGTCGGACTAATAATCAGCACAGTACATTACTAATTCAATAGGACTAATTTATTTGAACTAAAGCCTTAGTATGTATGTTCATAATATGTGCAGATCACCACATGCAGACTATTCATTCCTTGCCAAACTACACATGCTAGCTACTGTTTGAAGATGACGTTGTAAAAAATGCATAAGCTGGGGATGGCATGGTGATGCTGCTGGTCGAGAAGTACCATCCCAGTGCGTACTTCCTCCAGCCCATAATTTCAATTTTCTCTTATTGAATGGCAAATTCATGCTTGGCTAAGTTCGGATTCTGGCGTTTAGTGCATCCGCACTGAACTGATTGCTGGATTTGGTAGGGGGTGATATCATTTCGTTCATGGGTGAACCTGAACACTGATGTAGCTTCCCAGATTCCTCTATGCTCCAGTCATTCAAATATTTTGTGATGCCTTAGTTCTATCTTCAGGAATAAATTTAACATCAACACGGTGATTTGAGAATGCAAACAGACTCAGCTCCTTGGTTGCAGTTCCCTCCTTACCTACCAATGCTTCCTCCTGCCTTGCCAGCCGCATGTGTCCTCACCTTTGTTCATCAATTCGTGTGCTGGTATGGATTGGTGATGTTTTTGACGCCCATAGAGCCATTACCTCATGCATGTGTATTTTGTGTGCCAGTTTACCAGTTAGTGAGTGATAATGTCCATATGAATGTTTCATCGTTTAGCAAGTGATCAGCAACAGGCATCTCTTACTTTTGGATTGAAGTGCAGATCTTGCTAAAGAGTTGACCATGGAGTCATTTATGTATTCTTATGCCCCAATGCTTCATTAAGTATTCTTATTATGCAATATAAAATTATTTCTTACCGTCTTCTATTGTTTCCTCTGTTTTTCTCAGTTATTCAGAGAACACCACATGTTACATGAATTCTAGACTACTTTCCTAGAGGTAGTTGTTATTTCTTACCGTCTTCTATTGTTTCCTCTGTTTTTCTCAGTTATTCAGAGAACACCACATGTTACATGAATTCTAGACTACTTTCCTAGAGGTAGTTGTTAGAATCATCTTCTTGAATTTGCCTGCTTAGCATCTAATATTTCACACTCGCCAATTGTAATATCTCATGCTTGCCAATTTTTAGAATCAGGTTCTTGAGTTTGCTTGCTTAACCGTGTCCCTGTGCAATTGCTCACCAACCTCACCAATTGTGAGTTTGTCCCACACAGTGGAGTTTCTGTGAGTTTTTATAGTCTATAAATTCTTGGAAGTTCTCTTGTTGCTGCTATAATGTGGGTGTGTTCGGCTTCCTTCTTCATTTAAGGTGAATCCTTGCTTCCAGGTTGGCCTATGAAATGATGTAGTTTCTGCTGGAAAATAAGTTGTTATGCAATTATAGTTAGGTTGCCAATTTTCCTTCATAATTGCATTTAATGGTGGCTGTTATGCTCACTTTGCTCAAAGAAAGGTTGTCTAGCCATGCTACTTTGTGATTTAAGAAATAGGCTGACACCAAATCAGTAATCCCGGACTTCTGCTTTGTTGGCCGAAATTTACTAATTTTGTTTTTCTTGTTATCTTTAGCCATTCCAAAACATTTATCTGGTTCTGTAGAATTACAGACCATAGAATTATAGCTGGCCATATTTTTGAATGCGTGAACCTCACATAGATATCATGCTAATGTAGCTTGACGGAAGTTGTAAAACCAATGGATAGGCATCGTCTTCTGCTAAGGTTCCTTTCACCCTTCTTTAGAACCCAACAAGCATTCATCAAAAAATTAAAGATCTTGGTTGGTGATTTGTTTCAATGGCCGGTATAGTAAGGCTACAACAATTATCATAGTATTTTTCATTTCTTTTTGCCTGCCCTTGTTTCACAACCTAATACTGATTGATCAGGTACATTGCAATGAGTGCTTACTTATGTTTTGTCTCCTGTTATTTTTTGATTCCAGTCTTCATACTTTCAGACACCTTTGATAATATAGGAAGAAGAAAGTATTCGCTCCAGACGAAGATGTCTAGCTTGCTTGTGTGCTATAACATTAATCCGTGCATCGGGCCCAACGTTTTCTATCATTGGAACCTTGATGATTTATCTCATTTGAACATAATCTAACCCCTCTGATTTTTGTCAGTACATGATTGTACACCTCCTATGCCCGCTTAATTGTGTGTTCATTTTGTTAATCAAGAAGCATCTGATTTTATGGCTGGGTACGCTGAAAATATATAAAACCTTTCTTCTTTTGGATAATTTGTTTCCCTTTTACCAATCTTTGTTAATTGCCTACACATCTGTGCATAGCGTAATGCTCCAGCATGACCGCTTCGTGTGCTGCCTTGAGTCGCGCGGCCATTACGCTCGCGCCGAGGTGGAGGCAGCTGCCACTCTCGACGCCCTCCGATGCACGCTCTCGCCGACGGCGTTCGCAAAGCCTTGTCACCACGCTGCAAGTGTTGCCCCCTCCTCCCCAAGGGCAAGGTGAAGAAAGGTGCCTGTGTAGTTCTTCTGCAGCTTGCAGCGAGGATTGTTGTGTCCAACCTGTACAATAATGCCAAGAAGTCCTTGGAGACGTAAGCCACGGCGCATGTTTCTGCCATGATTTCCTTCGGTTGGTTTTGTGGATTTAGGTGTTGAAAAATTATGGGATGTGGATGCAGGATTAAGGACATGTACCTGCACTACAACGAGAGATTTGGGCTGCTTCTTTGTGGCTTCCAAACTTGAAATTTTTGTTTGGAAGTTAGTTTAGTTTTTTGTTGTGGATTCACATCGTCTTACACGTACCATCCTCTTAGACCTTTAGATTTCCAAAAAAAAACTAAATGAAGATATGGTGGTATGGTCTCAATAGTACAACTTAAAGCCTTGCATGCTTTATATTTTCTTTGAAATTTGGTCTTGAAGAATCATGTATCTATGTTAGATCCGGTGAGAAAAGGCGGCTTTCAAGCAGAGGATGGGGGAGTGTTGGCCACATTTGGTTTTCGACTTGGGTGTATAAATATTCTCACAATACTTGTGTTAGGATTAATTAATGATTGTTAATTAAGGGATAATCCCTGCTTTTACTAACCGCAGACAGTTGCATCTGCCGCATCGGTTCCCTGCCGAATAGGCACCTCCCTGAACAGACGCCTTCCTAGTGATATCTCTTCCCTTTGTATAAACGAAATGGCTTCACACACGACATGATTGGACGATACACAGTGTGCATGCATCACCTAACACAAAAACCAACTACCTCCTGCATGTACGAGGGCTACTGATGCTGCCACATGGGATCGTGCGCATGTCGGCTGCAATTTCGTCGTGTGTATAGCATCGCTCTTGTATAAATAGCCTTTGTATAAATAGCAGATCTCATCTAATAAAGAGGACACCGTTTTCATTACTTCTCTCGTTCTACTCTAACACGTTATCAGCACGCCCTCTGGCGGAGCGATTTCACGGCCAAACTGCCGGCAGCGAGTGCGCAACGTCGCGATGCCCTCTGGCCCTGCGTGGCAAAGGAAGCCAACGCTCCAGCGCTAGCAAAGGCAGCGCATGGCGCCGCGCACACCTCAATGGCTATTCCGCGGCAACGCGGTGTTCCCGGCGGAAGGCGGCACCCATGCGCGACCGCGGGCTCCCGGCAGCGCGTCCACAGGAGCGACCAACGGCCAACGCTTGGACCGGCGGCTCTGTCCTGCGCGGCAGTCAGGGCAGAATGAGAAAGAACAGAGGTTGTGGATCTCCATCGATTCAAGAATTGAAGGCCTCAACAACGAACGCCAATGGATTCCCATCGATTCATTGATGAAAAAGGAAAAAGGTACCATGCGTTCTTCAATTCTTCCTGCACTGCACTGGATCAAGCGACAACTGCCGTTGCTTTTCATCAGCATCGCCAGCGGCGCCCGCGTCCATGCACCTTGCACACACACGGCTGTCCAGCGATGCGTCGAGGTGTCTGCCGGCCTCTAACGCGGGGCACGACTGCGTGGCCTTGACCTCTCAACGCGGAGGCGCTGCGCGGACCTCGACGAAACGGCAACGCCCTCCGGCGCACCAGCCATGATGTGGCGGCGCGGCCTCGGCGCGAGGCCGCCTAAAGCGTGACCGCGGAGATGCCCGGCGCACACGTGCATGGCGAGATGCTCTCCCACTACGCATGCCGCAAACGACAGCCTCGGCGCCCGCGAAGGCGGCACCCAACCGCGGCGCGGCGCGGAAGACTGAGGCGACGCCGCGCCCTCGGCTTGCATCCGTCCAGCGGCGCCCGAGGCAACGGCACTCGGCTGGCCCTCCGGCCCCGGAGGCAGCGGCGCCCTTCGGCGTGGCTCCCACAGCGGAGACGACGACGCTCCCACGGTCGCGGCCCTGGCCGGTGTGCCAAAACAGCGGCGGGCGGTTACAGGATTTCTCCTGGTCGAAAGCGCTCGGAAGTAAAGAGATAGGAACCTTATCTCTTCGCAAGTTTTGCATTTCAGCCTTTTGGCTTCACCTATTTCCGAAATAGGTCAAAACTTGCCTCTGTCATTGTTTTACGGCTAATTCCTGGAAGTTTCGGGATATTGCAGCTTGGTCTAACTAGTTGCTGTTGATTAGCACCAGTAACGTTAGGCCATGTGCAGATCATCATTTAGCCCATTTTCTGTTGAGTTTAAAATTCCAGAAAATATGTGGTTATTATATGTGGCATGTTCGATGTGTTTGCTTTTTAGCAATCCCTATAACATGTCTTATTAGTACAACAACATTGTTTTGTGATTGAGATTAAGTTTTCTCGCACAACAATATTAATTTGCGATCGAGATTTTCTTCTCTCGCAAAACAATCTCATAGCGATTGAGATTAATTTTCTCTCGCAAAATATTAATTCACCCTGCTGAATTATCTTGAAACTTGATACAAGATCATCACATTTAATTTGAGGTCTATACAATTCAAGTTTCACTTGAACATCAAGTTTGCAACATCATTACTATTCATTATAGTGGTGTATTTCTGTTGAGTACGATGTATTCCGGAATGTATGTATCTCCATGTTTGCTACATGTCGAGATTAATACGTCTATTTGCAATTGAGATTTTCAATTTCTTGCAAATACATATGCAAAATTCTTAGTGATTTCTTCAAATTGATGTATTGGGATCCCGAGGTAGTGTGTAGATTTACTGCTTTGCAGATTATCACCATTACTGTTTAAGCCTACATTTTGTCAAATTTGACATTATGATTGCACAACATTGTGCACTCCCATGCATTTTACTAAGTCAGGACATAAGCCATTAGGAGTGAGTATCTACTGATTTCATCAGATTATACTCCCTAGTGCTGCGAGATCTACTTCATTTTGGAGATTATCTTCAAGGTGTCATGCTTAGCAATTTGAGATTCACATTAATGGTTTCAAGATAACTTCTTGAAATATCCATTAATTTTACAACATTATCATGATGGTCTTCAATTTACTAATCGTAAATTAACTATCTCTGGTAACCGATGGCTAGAGAATTTGAGGCATTCGCACTCAATCGCCACCACTACCCTACCTGGGTATGGACATCATGATCACTCTTGTGTCTTGTGGAATAGTGTGTGCAATCCAAGACCACATGATTAACCTCTGGTCGGAATCACATCGCTAACAGAAAAATATTGTCTTATACATCATAAGGCATTATATCGATTCAGATATCTGCATCTGGTTATTCTGTATCAGCAATTCCTAGGACACAACAGACCTCAAGGGCAAAGGTTTGGAGCTCACTTCAACCTTCAACCCGACATCACCAGCAGTGACGGGACCCTATGGGCACGGAGAATATGATGGTTGAATATGACTCAACTAACATGTTTGAAGACTTCGTCTAGTCTCTCAATCTCCTGAGTGGTCAACATAATTTATGTCCATTTATGATGTTCTAATAAGAACATAAGTATTGTTGTCATCATATATTGTACATCACAATATATTGTATCAGCACTTTGGTACAAATACATTTGTATGTATTCTATATATTTGACAGTGATTTTCATACCGAGAATCTTCATGTCTATATATAGATTTCTACGGGAGTCAATCCGATGAAAAATGATATGTGCCTTGTGGACATATGCACCACAAACTCTATACTCAGGGGAGTCCAATGTTTCCACTCTCATTGAGAGAAAGGAGATATTTTAAAATCGCTAGACGCGATGCCACTCTCATTGAGAGAAAAGAGATATTTTAAAATCGCTAGACGCGATGAGGTATTTGTTGGCTCAACTCGAGTCATATTTACTATCCCTGTGGGTACCCGAGTAACATCGGGATGCTTTATTGCTTCCCAGGTTTAACTTGTACCCTACTAAACTATGAAGGTATCCGTCAAAATAGTTTCCATAGCGAAACTTATGATGACAACAAAGAGAAATAACTTCTCTTTACCATATGCAACGGATATGGCAAATACATTCTCTGTGTATCATCTGGATTGTACTACACATACGACACAACCCGTACCACATGTTGTGTACGTGATAGTTTTCCAAAGTGTCTTGTACATGACATACTTGGCATACTGGCCTTGGTCATCGAGACATTGGGTTGAAACCGAAACTATCAGCAATTCCAATAGTTTACGATTATTATGATGCTAAATTCTAACAACATTTGGATTTTATGTGCACTACAAGTGACACAGGGAAGCTAATTTTAAGGCTCGCACACCTTAAAGTCTACGCTGAACCACTCAGACTCCTTGAATGCATCAAGTTGAGGTAAGTGGCTCTTCCCTCCATTGACTAGACTATTCAGGTATTCCATGGTTCTAAAAGACATATCTACATGATGGTCTTAAGTGTGTGCTTTATTCACACAAAACCATTGGCTCATTTTCCTGACATCGATTTCAAGAAAATCGTATGGATAGCATTGCAGAATTCTCCTTGAGTGCCTTTCTCTATGGCCCTCGGATTGAAGTTTAGCAATTTGTCCCAATGTCTAGACTCAAAATGGTTTGGTAGAATCCTTTATCCAAAGAAGTTAGGCTCATTGCATTATCTTTACTCTGGAATTGCAACTTACCAACTTTACGTTGGAGTCATGCAGTTTTACACGCTCATGGCAGAACTGCATAATATTATTCCCCTCTATATTTGATATGTGGATATCTATCAAGTATTTTCTATCTGCAGTAATTCGGTTGCATACCGATATCACCACCCGGCATACATCATTGGCCTCTCAACATATAGTTGGGATCTATGTGAGGAATAACTGTAGTTCTGTCAATACCTCAAGCTCCTCGCATGGGGAGTTATTCAAGGCCTGTATGCTGATTCAATGAGGAACATTTCCAGGCATTAGGGGGAGATTTCAAGTACCATAAAGAATGCCAGGAAATTAGTGGAATGTTCAACACATTTCTGCCTCAAATCCACGTACTCAAAGATCGGAACCATGCGTTCAAAATATTTGCAACACATTGCAAATAACCTGCCAGATTCATTTACTGACTATAAAGGTGTCAAACAATCCTACAATCCTGAATATGTTGGAAAGAGTGGAGGTACCAACTAAAACCACTCAACTCCCCGTTCAAAGCAACAGGGGGAGAAGTACGACAATAGTACATCAGGATTCAGCTTCTCGCAAGCAAGGATATCAAGGCCTGTGAATCAGTAAATGCAAGTCAACTTCACGTTGACAAACACCTGATGGGTAGTATACACCCAGTGGACGTGAAACCTCCACCAACCCAGGTCATAGTGCACACAATGACTGGGACATCGGAATACCCAACTCAATCGCATTGGGAAATCGCGAGCAGTCACCATGTGTAACGATATTTCCATCAACTATATATTGATATATAGATTCTGGAGAAACATATAACCGGAAGTCTACAATTGTCGACGTACATTTCTCAACTAGATTGCAAAAACCTTTCAAATGACTCAGATCCAAAGACCATGGCCATGGCAAAGTGTGAACAACACCCGGACTGAACTCAAGCAAAGGGTATAATCTAGGTAGAAATGATCTTGCTCAGTAATGGCAAGGTGTTCATAAGCAATACCTACACCAACTTTCTTCTGGAAACGGAATTGAGAACAACAAGGTGGTGAACAGGGAGCAAGTATTGTAGCATAAGGGTTCACGTAGATACCCAACTATTCTCCAGAGGTGGAATCCCATTCTGATAACTTATATCATTGGCAGTACAAAATCATCTATCTCTGCAGTTGATAGATGTAGTGATTACATATCCATGTGGATCACTAGATTCAGACATATATGATTGATTCCCGTGGGATCTCAATTCTGAATCGAAATACAAAATGCAACATACATTGTGTAAATTCAGTAAGTCACCATACGACTTATTATTGTCAGTACATATGGTACAACTGACGTAGTGAGATCCTTATACACAAGGATTACTCCTACAATGATGATTATCCATGTTTGTGTGTCTGCAACGACAACACATGTAATCATCTAAATGACGGACTTTAAAATGAAGGATTTGGGTAAACCAAAACACCGCTCGTTACTACAACTTGAGCACCTTCATTCATACGTTATGGTATACTATATTGTCTATATCCATAATATATTGGAGAAATTCATTGTGGACAAATCTTATCCATCATTAGCTCTCATGGTAGTTCGTTCTCTAGACATAAAGAATGATCTATTTAGACCAAGAATTGTTGGAAATGAGATATTGGGACTCAACGTTCCATAATGCCATTGGATCCACCAAACACAATTGGTTGGTACTCAAGAATATCTTTGATATCTCCAAATGCATCAAACATCTTGTCCTGGTTTTTCAGTTTCACAGAAATGTGAACACCGATATCATTGGATACTTCAATCAGATCCCCAATATGTCAGATCGTAGACAATCTTAGTGTTCATACTAGGTGTGGTAGCCCTCTCATGAAGAGTCTTCAAAAAAAGACCTCATGGCTACATCCACCAACC